AGTCGCATCAATGCTCAAATCAACGGGCAAGGAAGGGGTCCCATTTCTCGGGTTCTGGGCCGTTTCTCATGGTTCTTCCTTCTTTCGTGTACCACTCACCATCCCTAGTTAATTTGAAATGGGTTGCCTTTCCAGCGTGAATTCGTCCTTTAAACAAAAAATAAGCGGAAGTAAGGTGAGGACGGCGCGCTCGCAAAATCGCTCCTGTCCCACGCGGTGCAAAATGCCAAAACACGCGATGTCGTCAACGTGTTAAACAACAAGATAGAGGTGGTGATGGTACAGAGATGAAAAAAAATTATGAGAAAAGGTGCAGAACCCGTGAAACAAGGCCCCTTATTTGCTCGTTGATTTTTGCTTTGACACGGCTGACAACAGTGCTGACCTTTTTAACGCTAACGCTCCTTCTTCTAAAGTGCTAGAGCCAGACGACGAGGGGTTACCTATCGGAGGGCGCGCACAGCGCGGGTCGTCCCTGCTGGGCCATACTCTCCGACGAAATGCGTAACCTCCCGCACCTTTGGACTGTTGTCAGACGCGAACTCAGCGATTCGCTAGCGAATCGCGCGACGATAGTCAACGTTTCAAATGAGTCCCGGCGCTTTCCAACGACGTCAGGACGCTGTTACATGGTTCGAACCGCTGGTACGCTGTTCGATTCGATGGTGCAATGTTCGTACCCCGTGATTCGCTAGCGAATCGCTGTGTTCGTAAATTAGAGGATCCGCCTGCCTTTCGCTAGGTATATTTCCCGTTCTGACCTCATTCTTTATCGTGGGATCATCCTTTGAGTGGATTCGTTATCTAACTGTTGGGTAATGCCTACACGATTGGAAAATCGTGGCATTCTGACCAACAAACGATTTTCGTTGAAATTCTTAGTAAAAAAAACAAATACAAATTCAAATTCTCGTTCTCCACCGGTAGATACAGTCCACAATACTTTCTCTAAACGACAATGGTCACTCCAAGCGAGACGTGCAATAGATTTCATTTTAAAGTGAACAAATCGATCAATTGGAAACCGTCATGGTGACTCACCGAGTCTTTCTTCAGCCATTTTAGATTTCTCTGAAAAAGGAAAATACGAAATCAATGGCAAGTGTTTATTGGAAGGGGAATTCTAATCGGCAAGTTATTTAGTATGATAAAGCAAACCAGTACACGAGAATAGTGACATCAGTCCACCGAAATGTAAGTACGAGAGTCGCAACGATTAGGCAATGATCAACGAATAACTTACTATACAATATGTACTACAAGGATAAACTAAGATGACATAAGTATCCACAAACTGCTGCTGCTGACCATCGGCACAGCAGCGCTGTTCCAAATGCCTTACACTTAAGAGCCATAGTAACGGTCAATCACACTATTTTTACATTCTTTTAGGATCAGGTTTTTAGCACACCGGGTCATGTCAGACAGCCGGTTTCGGCTTGAGAAATTGGAAAATCTAGATAGATGAACAAAACACGAAAGGCATAAAAACTAATATCTAATAAAAACAGAAGTGACGACGAAAGAAGTTGCAGGCTGAAACAATCGCTGACAAATCGAATGCGGTGGGAAGGTTTGCGTACGATTAGCGCTACGAACATATTGATATCAACTTTGACCCCAACGCCACGATTGATCCTAGTGCAGGGGAATGGGGCAAGGTGTAAGTATACAGCGAAACTCAAGATCATCTAGAAGCGAATTATAGATTTGGAGTGATAACAAACTATAATTCTAGGCTCTATACAAGTTGGGTGGGCACGCCCAGCTTTTCACGCATGTCAAGTGACTGCCCTCACCCCCCCCTAGATTGGCTACACTCCCCTGGCTCACGAATTCCCCGATTCTCGTGACAGTATAGTAGCGGGCAGCAGTCCCACTTACATATTTCTGTTCAAAAAATGCGGCGTGCCCACCCTACTTGTATAGCACCTAATTCTATGTCTCTGAAGTGGATATCATTGTATAATACATTTCTGTTGACTAGTATCTAAAAGCACACGATACTCCACAGAAGGACCAAAACAAAAGCGAATTATTCGAGCTGTCCAATAGGTGCATTCTGCAGCCAAAGTGAATGCAAAAAATCGTACAATTTCTCCGATACCGACACCTGAACACAACAGATCGACACTTCGGAGAGCAGAAATCGAAAATCTCGAACCTTATACGGAGTCGGATTAAGGTAACGCCGATGATCCTTCCGTAGAGCGTCCAACGAGGAATTCACCCGAGCCTAGAATTCTAGTAATAGTTTAAGTGTTTATAATAGGGCGGAAGTGGTGTAGTGACAAGTGGCGCGCTTACCACGCGAGCGGTCCGGGGATCAAATCCTGGGTCGTGAGTCGCCCGGGCCAACCAAGCCTTCCATCCCTCCGGGGTCGGTTAATTGGTACCAGACTTGTCTGGGAGGATAAAAACACTGACTTGTACATCGGCTGGCCCCGCAAGTCATTGTATAGGCCACATCGCCAAATGGAAGTAGAATGCGTGCCGCATCCCAAAAGGGATTGATCAACGGCAAATGCTTTATCCTTTATCCTTTTTATAATACGAATAACTGTGAAACAAATCGATTCTTCCAATAAAGTTGAGCCAACCTTGATAGTTTTCAGGTCGGGTAGCTCCTTTGTTATTTTGCCATCACACCAGAACACTTCGTGTAAAGGTTCGATACGACTCGCCACAACTAGAGCTCTTTTCGATTCCTAAACATCACAATAAACGATTCAAAGGCAATTTATTACAGAACCAGTTGGCACTGCAACCCAGTTCTTCGGCGATATGGAGTGGTGCGGCTTAAACTCTCAAGTTTGGCCCGATACACTACGAATATTTGACTTCTGAGCTAGATTCCATCCGCTTCTCCCATCCTCCTCCGATGCTTTTTGACCTTCCCTCCTTCGTCAACCACTGTCCGCTTTCTGCCGTTCTCCGAAATGCCTCTGAACCGATTTATAAATCTCGTGGTAAACTCCGCCTATTTCGTTGCATGTCCAACCCACCATTTTCTTTCCTCGCCAATCTCTCCCCCTTTTCTCCGGTCTATAAAAAATCAAAAGGTGCACGATTTAATGCGGTCTTTGAGCCGATTCATATGTTTGGCTGCAACCCCCCTTTTAGCATACTCCGCACAACGCTAGAAACTCACTTCCTCCCCTCGGTCCACTTTTTCCCCGATCTCTGGAACTCCCTAGAACCGAGTTGTGAGCCTTTCAACAAACTCCGCCCACCTTGTTGCATGCCCCTCCCACCAACAGCAGTTGGCTTCCTTCCTTCACCGACCTTTGACCCCTTTTTTGCCGGTCTTCGGAACGCTCATGGAACCGAATTATGGAGTATTGTGGCAAACCGCCCACTGCTCCATGCCCCGCCCACCGATACGTTTTGACCTCTTCTCCGTAGTCAAACTCTACAGCTTTTTCCCGGTCTCCATGATATCTTGGAACAGGTTATGAAGTTTCATAGATAAGTCTGCCCACTTCGGTGCATGTCCCCGCCCACCAACAGCAACACCCTTTTTCCACCGCCAACCTCTATTCACTTTTTTCCAGTCTCCGGGAATTTTTAGAACCGAGTTATAGCTTTGAAAGCAAACTCCGCCCACTTTTGTGCAAGCCGCGCCCACCATTAATATTTAGCCTCCCTCCTTCTCTGACCTCTATCCACCTATTTTCTTCTCTCAAGACTTCTCTGAAACCGAAGTTACGAGGACTTGCAGGAAACGGTGTGCACTTCAGAGAACGCTCCGCCCTTTATGGCCACCTTGGCCCACGTCATATATGCAGGAAATTGTTTGAAAAAATTGAATTGGGACATTGTTTCCCTACGCCAATTTGTTTTGGGCTTCGTAGACTTTCTCCAAACCGAGTAATGAGCTGTCCTTTTTGAAGAACGCTCCGCCCACCGGAAGGTGGGTCCACTAGTGCGATTACGCATTATCAGTGCACCACTTTAGCCATTTTCCCCGTCTCTGAGCGCTGTTTTGGTGTGTGATCTGAAATCTTGGTCGTCGGTGTCGCTCATTCAATGCACGCCACGCGCCACTGTGGGCGGGGCTACGCTTAGGTGTTGTATGTTTTATAACTTATCGAGGCCTACCCATCCCACACTTGACCCGGTCTCTCCAGACGGATCTCCTGGAGCTAGGAAATTTCGTGACAGAAATACAGAACGACAAATGAAGAGCTTTATAGTAACTAGGATCACTTACTTCACTAACTGGTAGCTTAAAAAAGGTGTCACGAGAAAAACTTGCAAAATGTGATCATTTGACACATATTGTGAAACAGAGATTATTTTCATTGTATCCACAAAACTAGAAAAAAATTCCTTGCTGCCGCAAGGTTTTGTCACGCTACGCGAAGATAAAGACGGTCGCTTGACAAAACCTGGACAGGATGGCCGAAAGGATTCTGCTGGTTGGCCTTAGCGTCGCTCCTCCCTCTTCCAACATCATCAAGGTCGCTCTGTATAGCATAACCAGTTTTTCCCAAATAGGCGAAACCTTCTTTCGACCAGGATCGTGATTTTTCGATATCCTCCTCTTCCAACATCATCAGGTCCAGTATAGCATAACCGGTTTTCCCAAATAGGCGAAAACACTTCTTTCGACCAGGAATCGTGATTTTCGATACCTCTTGACTCAGTTTAATTTTCGGATGTCCCGATAGCGCAACCAACTGAAAGATAACCATGTTTGAATGCCTACAATCAAGACAACATCCTAAAGGGAATGCCTGGCAATTCTGACGCACAACTTACTTTATAGACACAGCCAAGTGCCGGTTGCTTCTGGCAAGTGACAAGATGAGTTCCGACACCAAACGCATCGATTTCATGCTGAAAACTGTGGTCCTGAACATTTTTGTAGTAACAACTGCAACGGCTTACCGACTGCTCATTCAAAGACATTATTGTCTCCTCGTTGATGTCATTTGAAGCAACTATTGTTATATTCTCGACCCAATCCAGGGCAGGATCCCTGAATGCAAGCTGTAAAAGACATCCTGAAACTCCTAGCTGGTGGCAAACATGAATTTTAGACAGAGACAGCTACGGCAACTGTGCCGCAATCACAAGTATGGTCTTCGGAAATTTAAGGTCCAATCTCGTGCAGACCGACTGAGAACCCCGCTCCTTCGAGATGTGCTAATTGGTAAATGACCCAAGAGGAAGAAGCTACCGACTTTTACCTTTCCCCAGAGGTCAAACTTACTCCTCCCCTCATAGAGGATCCTCACAGAACCCTTTATTCTAATTTCATCCGCATCACGTTTTCAATGTGATCCTTGGAACTGCAATAGTCAGCACGATTCTGATCACACAAGACGTTAAATCTCATTTTCTCAAGAAAACGCGGCTTTGAGCGGCGGTTTTTATATCGGATTTCATTCAGAGCAGCCAATTAGTTTTTCTGAAAGCACCCACAATTCAGCCACTCTCCGCAGCCGGCTTCGCACTTCTTTAGAGAGGTAAGGAGAGATCTCCGCTGTCAATTCGACAACCAACAGTCTTGTATCCGAGTTCGAAAAGAGCCAACGCCACAGCAATGAAGTTTATAACACCACTCCTGAAAATGAAATGAGGTCAATGAAGCTATCATAGGTGTACTTTAGCGTGCGGCATAATTATCACACAACCGGGTTTTTAGTTTTGAGCTTCCGGCAACCTGATCAAGAAACAATGAACGCCATCTAATTTCTCACTGATGATGGCGATACAAATAACCCAAAACCTCAGCAAACCTCTTAGGGTGCCTGAAAAGTAAAATTATGTGATGTCACAAGTAATCGAGGGAAATCAGACAAAGAAGGTGTGCAAGATCCATGAGGTTCTCAATAATGATACTTTACTATCTAACAGTTAAACCTTTGTCCATAACTATTTATGATGCTTACAAATTTTATTTCAGGGCGGTGTCTCACACTTTTGCATATACTTTTTTCGACACCAGTAAGCCCCCTATCACTTTTTTAAAATTATTTAGCTTGATCAAAAGCGAGAAAACTCAGAAAAAAAGGATATGCAAAGTGTGAGACACCGCTCTGAAATAAAATTTGTGAGCATCATGAATAATTAAAGACAAGAGACATCATGAATAGGTAAAGACAAAGACTCAAATGGATAGATAAGTATCAGTTTATTCGTATGTTTCTGAGCCGATAAGTTGCGAAATTTCCACAGTTTCGTAGTCAGGGATTACAAGGCCTAAGAGCGAAAGGTGTATGATGTATGACAGCTGCGCCGCGCATTGTAAAAAAGAAATGATATGATTGACAACCTGAGAACGTCGTAAGTATCAATAAGTGACAGGTTTGCGCTTGGAAATGCAATCGCATAAGCCACGAACGCAGCCAGCTCGCCATTACTGACCTCGGACTCGACAACACCCCATTCCAACTGTAAAGGGAGATAGTATTATACATAAATTTAGCCATAGAATTTGAAAAATAACAGTACTCAGAGCAATATATCAACGTAGGATGGAAACCAATTCTGATAAAACAAAAATACCTTTTCCATTATCCAGCGCCGTTTCTCCACGCTAAGAGAATACAGATCATATTCTATCAAGCCGCGACTATCTCGAAGTAATCTAACTTTCAAGTCATCAGCAGATGAGAACGAGCACACAAAACTGTGAGCCTGGGTTCCCTTCACAGGGATCCCGAAAAAGTTTTCCGGCAAGAACATTGCTGGTTGCATCAAATCCTGAAAATACAATAAGAATCCAAAGGTGGCCTTTTCTTTCATTCTCTCAATACCATACCTCCAATGTAGGAATATTTGCTGGCGGTAAGACCACCATTAGGCCCTTGAGCTCGCCGTAGCCCAAATTCGAGCATTTGCGCTTTATCCCCAGCAGCCTACATACAAAAAGTACTGAGGTAATGCTAGCAAACCACGGTAACATGCAACTATGCAAAACCTACCTGTCTGAACCGAGAGGCATTGGTGGCCATCAGAGATGCAAAGTTGATTAAATTGAGAAAAGTCGTCTCCAGTAGCTGACAGATGGCTAGAGGACCTTCCACAGTTATCAAGGGAGTTTTCGGGAACACGGCAGAGCCTTGAAAAATCAATCACTTCGCAAGCCCATACTCTCCAACCTTATACATAATTTTTTACTCATTATTTTCTCAGAATATCATGTAGTCTGAAAGTGAACAATCGGTTGTAGTTCGGTGCACAGCTTTTGTGTATTTACCTCACTGTGGAGCTCAAACGCGAGCAAAAAAAGATTGCTCATGCTTTACGAGTACAATTGAGCTCGAAACAGGATGTGGTCGTATCCAACGAAGTCCTGGGGTGAATGCTGGGTAGAAGTGAGGACTGTTTAAAAACCTTTGCTGATAATCATTTGTTGTTGGTTTTTTTTTAATTTGTCAATAAACTTTGTGTGAAATGAAAATAGCAGATAACTTCCGCTCAACCTAATACAACAACGGGGGAGGTGGTGCAGTGGCAAGTGGCACTACCTCCGCACGCGTGCGGTCCAGGGTCATATCCCAGAATGAGTCTCGCCCAATCCAATCAAACCTTCCATTCTTCCCGCGCCGCTTTATTGAAGCCAGACTTTATCCGAGAAGATGAAAACATCAACTCATTCGTCCGTCCAATGCCGCAGGCCACTGTACCTATTTTATAAAGCGCTAACTTTGTGTGTCGGTTTGTGTGTGTATGTGTGTATGTATGTGTGTCCGTCCGCAAAATGAAGTGAGTGAGAAGGAAGCTCATGGGATAAACAAACCGCTAACAAATCGGGTAGCTTACAGGATTTGAGATATCAATGTTTTGTAGCAGGATAGTTGTGATAACACTCTTAGGGCTATATAAACACCTGCTTAGCACACTTCCGTTCATTCCACATGGTGCTGCAGTGGCAGCTGGAGGGCAGTGGAGAGAGGAAGGGAGGATGAGGAAGGGAAGCGAAAAATCTACCGTCATATCATGATTGTGTCCCTTCTACTGTATGAAACACCATTGTGTTGCATACGCGTCACTTCCAGAGGTGTTGGTGTCACAGGAGGAAGGGACCATAGCGGAGGATAGAAAGCTTGCGCAGGAAAGGAAGGTCCCGGCGGTTGACGGGGGACTAATCTGGTACTAATATAATTCAAACAGCCGCCACGATTCTGAATGAGAGTGGAGTGCGTGGTAAATCTTGAAAAGAGTTTTCACACGCCAAAAGTTTTTATCTATTTTAAATTCAACGAAGTATAGAGAGTGACAGCAAAGGGAAACACTGGAGAGTCTGGCTAATTCGAGGTAACATTCTCCAAAATGGGCTACCCATTTTCCAATTCTTCTAGCCCCAAAAAATTGTTCTTCCACTCCACAGTTCTTCCAAATCTCAAAAATCCTAAATGCTAAATTAGTTCGCGAGCGCGAAGTGGCTCCCCTCGATAGTTGGGCCCTTGCGATTCATATTTAACTTGAGTTTTGTTCGAGCTGAGGTTCCTAGGAGATGGAGGCTCTCTTATGTGGTTCCCATCCCCAAGAAACCTCCATATTCGGACGCAAACAATTACAGACCGGTCAGCATCACTTCGGTTTTCTGTAGAGCTTTCGAAAGAGTAGTCAAGAGGGTCGTCGTAGAACACCTTGAACGTCAGCGGATCTTACCCGACTGCCAGCATGGCTTTAGGAAAGCGAGATCGACGGTTACTCAGTTGCTGGAATCTTTAAATGATTGGACAACCTCATTGGAAAAGAAGAAAAACGTTGATGTGGTTTACTTTGACTTTTGTAAAGCATTTGACAAAGTGAACCATTCCAAGCTCTTCGCTAAGCTCAAACACATCGGCATTCACCCAAGAATTTTAGTATGGATCAAGGCCTTCTTGAGTCATCGCTGCTTTCAAGTTCGAATTGGCAAAGCCTTTTCTAGTGTTAAGACTGCCCCAAGTGGTGTCCCGCAAGGAGGGGTTCTTTCACCGGTGTTGTTTTGTATCTATACATACGACTTACCTAGGGTGGTGGAGGATTTGAATGTCAAATGCAAAGCATTCGCAGATGATGTCAAGATTTACCAGGAAATAGGATCTCGAGAGGATGCTGAGACGCTCCAAGAAGCCATTGAGGCAGTTGTCAAGTGGTCCGATGTGTGGGAGCTACCATTGGCTTCCAACAAAACTTTGGTTTTGCATCTAGGCAGGCCCCAGGAGAGGAGCGCCTACTACATAGGTGGTTGCGAACTCAATGAGGTTGAAGCGGTTAGGGACTTGGGATTTCTCATTGATAACAAGCTGAATTTCGAGTCACATTGCGCCGCTATAGCCAATAAAGCTGAAGTCAGGCTATTACAACTCTTTCGCACTCTATACACCAAAGATCCATGTATCCTCATCAAGGCTTATAAGTCGTACATCCGTCCTATTCTGGAGTATGGATCGATTATTTTCTTTCCCCACAAGAAGAGAGACCATCTCCAAGTTCGTATCTGTTGCTATACGAAGCCTATCTATAGTTATAGGCTTTTTCGTTCCGGTTGAATCCTTAATATATATATGAGGTGTTCAAGAGCAATACACAATGGTGTGAAATAGCCCTCGGCGGACTTGTTCGTATCTAGGCGAGACAAAATCAGCTTGCTCTCTGGATATTCTACTTCTAATCGAACGAAGGGATAAAAGATCTAGATCGTGCCAAATATATGTCATTATCACAAAGAAAAAGATAAGCTTACAACTGTGCCTCGGGAAAGTGCCGATTGATTTGCAAAGCCTCTTCACTGTTCTTCCTTCTGTTACTAGAGGAGAAAAGTTCAAATTAGTTCGTCCATTTGCTAGATCCAACACCAGAGCAAATTTTTTTTCTCTTCGCGCTTCTAGTGAATTTGGTAAGCTCACCAAAAAATTCGCCATGCCCAGCAGTTTATCGCACTTAAAAAAATATTTACAAAATTCTATACTTAAGGGCTTCAAATTTTTCATTTTCAAATCTGATTTTTAGAGGATGGACAATCATATTCACTAGTAAAATTTTGTTGTTCTACTTCATTTTCTTATGATGTTTTTTTTCTAGTTGTGTTGTTACGTCTTGGCACAGTTTTGTTGTGTTTGTCCATGTACTTTTGTACTAATTAGTGGCGAGATGGCCGAATCACAGGGGTACGCTGGCGGGAAAGATACGAAAACAAAAACTGTCGCGCAAACTGGGTGAAGTCTCTCCCCTCCCTGGGCTTAGTCCTCAAACAAAGCGCTACTATGATAAACTTCGAACTATATGTTCGCATCATCCCAGTATGACCCACGTACTTCTTCCAAGAAATAAACAAAGTTGTCACTCGCCGAGGCGGAGTGCGCACCGCCACGTGAATGTAAAAAGTACTTGTTCTGATCATTCTGAGAGATAAAGTGTTTGTCGCGGTTTCGAATGGACCGGTAACCTGTGCAGAAATTTCCCCTTCCCAAGTAAATTAGCGCCCAGAAAACGCAATCCTACACCCAAGTACATGAGCCCAAAATGTAGCCCCCCAATCTGAAACCGAATAAAATCGAGTTCTTCACAATACCTTCTGGGATAGCTTTGATCTTCAAACTGCTGCAATCCATCTGAGCCAGGTATTCGAAGAAGTTGGGGTTGCAGTCAGCTGGTAGAAGTTTCTTGATGAAGTCAATATCTGAAAGCAATTGAGTAATGAAGCATAATGTATTATACTAAAAGCTAAGCTGTGAAAACCGTAACTGCTACTGTACTCGGTGGACGGCTTTTGGAAAGCCTTGCTTTAATTTTTTCAGAATCTCATTCTCCCACACACCCATCATGTTTGCAATTACCCACTGCCGTATTCTTACTCTTCGTTATCGTTTGTGCCCTATCGCCTAACTCAATACTACTGCTCTCCTGTAAAGGTCAAGGATAGTACAGAATCGGTGGTGAACTCAGTCAGCTTATTCTGTGCTGATGTGTTAGCCGACTACAGGAGTCGAAGCGAATACAAAAGCCATAGAAAGGCGAGCGGAATAGATCTCAGAATTATCGAGAATGACGATCAGGCACTAAAGGCACGGAGGGGCATGGATGAAATCGAGGGTCCACTGGAATCCTCTGCGATCGAAGGTGCTCCAGAGCGCTCAAAGGGAAGGTGTACCGGACAGTGGTAAGGCCTGCGATGCTCTACGGCAGCGAGTGCTGGCCCCTGAACAAGAATCACGAAAGGCAGCTTCACTCCGCTGAGATGAGGATGCTGAGATGGGCCTGCGGCTGGACGCGACTGGACAGGGTTAGGGACAAGGGTGTCAAAGCGCTCCCTTACAAGAAAGGTGCTGCTCAGCAACTGCGATGGTATGGGCATGTGCTAACAAGGAAGGTCTTCCAGGACATGGAGCGCTTTTTCGAAATGGTTTTCTGCATGTTGTAGGGGCTCATGCGAGGAACACAGAACCATGATCCATTTTTCCTGAACGCCTCCAGGAATGTCAAAACAGTGGTGAAGAAATGGTCCAGAGTTCGATCCCCGGTGATGACTAATTTTTGCAATATAGTTTGGCGCCCCCAGATTGCCGCCAAATGGCGCCATCGTCGAGAATAGATGTCATTGTCGTGTTTTGCGGCAATTTGGAGGCGCCAACATAAATTGCAAAAATTTGTCATCACGGAGGATCGAACTTTGGACCATTTCTTCCCCGCTGTTTTGACATTCCTGGGGGCGTTCAGGAAAAATGAACCATGGTTCTGTGTTCCTCACATGAGCCTCTACAACATTCAGGTAACCATTTTGAAAAAACGCCCTGAAAGACCCCCTTGTGGATGCAACAGGATCACCTGACAAGGAGGGCACTAGATTCCGAAGTTAGGGGCAAGCTACACAGTAGCCTTAGTCTTAAAGGACGAATTCGCGATTAGAGGGAAAATCGAATTAGGAAGAATTCACCTGGTTGAGGGACCCGCGGAGCTCCTAAGTGTGCGAACTGAAGCACAATTTGCACAGGAGGAGTTGACCTCGTTGACCTATTAAGGTTTTAATCCCGCCGCGGCTGGTCAGTGCACGCCCACCAACCAGCTGATAGCTCGCCGTAGGTTTATGCGTGGCGAGTGATTAGATAGGTGAGAGAGCGTAGTGTTGAAGAGAGCACAGCGATGATAGCCTCATCAATGCTCAAATCAACGGGCAAGGAAAGGGTTCCCTTTTCTCGGGTTCTGGGCCGTTTCTCATGGTTTTTCCTTCTTTAGTGTACCACTCACCATCGCTAACTTAATTTGAAATGGGTTGCCTTTCCAGCGTGAATTCGTCCCTAAAAGAAAAAGGTGGAGGGATATCTTAGAGCAGGGCTGAGTCCCTGAGACACTGAAGTCAGGACCACACCAGAAGATGCTCTGTAGAGGTCAAAGTGGCGATGTCTGACAAGAACAGCGGAAAGTGTGAAGAAAGAAGACTAATCAGCAACGAACAAGCGAAAGGTTCGTTCATTTTTCCGACAATTTGATAGAGTCCTTAATCCCTCCGTTGAGGAACTGTACTTCTTTTCATCGCTATTCATCGCATCCACGTCTTGACTCCGACGACTACGCAGATATTTTACGTCCTTAATCACCGCAGCTCCTGTAACATCCAATTCTGTCTGCATCCTCACGACATTAAACACAAAATAAAAAAAAAACGGAATCCAAAAATAAACCACAAAAAAAAAAACAAAAAAAAAAAAAAAAAAAAAAAAAAAAAAAAAAAAAAAAAAAAAAAAAAAAAAAAAAAAAAATATTAAAACCTAGCCCGTACTAAGCCTCTATAATATGACTACACCCTCTATAAAAATTTCGCAAAACTTCCTCAGCGCCGTTTCTCACGTCGCAGCAATTCACCCATTGTATTTACTACACGTCTAATAGGTTCATGGGCGTCTATGTATTTAATAACACTGC